CTTCTGGGCCGAGATTGAGATTGTTGATAACTACAGATACCCATCTGGTTCACAAGCACCCTACAACGTTACAGTAAGTTCCTCTAACCTCAATAAATGAATGCTTAGCAATGTTTCCTTTGAAACTAAAATACTCAACGGTTCTCAAATGTTACAGACGACGCTGTTGGTACCAGGCAATTACCAAGGAGACAGGAGGATAAAACAGAGCCAGATCTATGACAAACCAGGAAAATACAGAATAAAACTACCAACCGTTGGAGTGAGAACAACAGGGACAGTAATGGTGGAGATGGTGGACAAGAACGGACTCTATTTCTCAGATGAATTCTCTCTAACATTCCATATGTATTATTACAAGCTTCTGAAGTGGCTGCTTGTCCTCCCGATGCTGGGGATGTTCGGTCTGCTCGTGATACTAAGACCTCAAGAAGCTGTCCCCCTCCCATCCTTTTCCCGTAACAGAGACTTATAATGCTAGGTGCTTGAGCTCTATGTATCTCCCCTTGAATAGCTCGTTTAAAGTATTAGATATTATCTTTTTGTTTGTTAAAGATCTTTAGATATTCTTACGTTGAGTTTATAAAGTCTATGTATCACTACTTTATTCCTGTAACTTTTCGTCGGTTAAAAAGAAAAAACTGGACATGCATTATCACACTCTGTATTACTTTAGATTGATACAGAGTACTATTCATTCTCTCTTGTTTCCTTATCTTTATCTGTTTCTTCTGATAACAATGTCTGCTCGCTCACAAACTGAGTGAGCAGTGGGATGAGGATAGCTCCAAGAACAGCTACTTTTCTCCAATCCGGTGAAGAAACAAACGAATCAGCGATTGCTAGAGCCACAATCCCAATCAAACCGAGGTAAATGTTCCTTCTTGACTCTGATCCTGCACTTTCTTTAGTAACCTCTCGTATTTTCTCAGTCTCTTCTTTAGCTTTCTCTACATCCACAGGCTGTTTATCACGTAAGCTCTTGAAGAACAATCCTTCATTCCTGTCTTCCACAATCTTCTCCTCAAACTCAGCCAACTTGTAATCGTTCTCCTCTATCTCCAATCTGTTTAATCCCGCAGATTCCTCAAAAGCTTGCATCTTGCTCTCTATGTTCTCTAATATCTATACTCAGAAAAGGGAAAAAAACAATATCAGCTTATGACTTCACTTGATATATAAAGAAAAGAAACACATACCCTTGAGCTAGCTTCGTCGAGGTCTTTCATGGCGTCTTCTCCAACCTTGTCAAACTCAGCGTTGGCTTCTTCAGCAAACTTGGTGAGATAATCTGAACGTTCGTCTAAGAAATCAGTTAATCGGACCTTCGATGTTTGGAGCATGGCGATCCTGGCTAATAGCTCTTGTCTCTGTGTATCTCCCTCGGGTTTTGGAGGATCCGGATCAGACTCTGAATCAGAGTTTCCATCTCTGGTTTTCGAGAGACAAAGGAATTGGGTTCTGGAAATGGAATGTCTTGCGGGATTGAATAGAACATGGAAGTTTGGTGTTAGAGTTGTCTGAAATGGTTGAAGTGTGTTCATCATTTTGTTAGATTCTGATGAAGAAGGTGGAGAGTAACCGCTCGTTATTTAATTTAGTTTATTGCATTATCCAAAACCAGTTCTATGTTTTAATGTATTTATATAAAATACCTGTTTTCATGGATTATTATACTTGGAGTCTCTTACTTTCATTTAGATCTGTTTAATAACATCGTGCATATATATAAGAAATAGGAAAAGAACATATTTCTAACTTTCGACACAATTTGTTACCACTTTAAACTTAAAAATCGTATAATTAAAAAAAATCAAGAAGGTATATATATATATACTCATAGAATTAACTTATTTAAATAAATTACAGTTCTTAAATAATTATCAGACATAATATTTTGTGACATAAGATTTGAGAACTCTTTTTGTCAAAAAAAAAGATTTGAGAACTCTTAATATATATATTAATAATTTTTGTTGGTTTTCGTTTAATTTTTTAAATAAAAATTAAAAATTATTTGATTATTACTTAATTCAATGAATGGTTATCAATTATTATATTTTATAATTGTAACATCATTTTAATTTAATACATAAAACATGTAGTTGAAAAATTAGATACATAATATTTTACGTTTCCATGTAATGAAATTTTTTACTAAATCTCATAAAAATATATGAAAGTGTTAAGAAAATAATGGTTTATTTGTACTATATAAAATGTTTATACATATAAATTAGAGTCAATTAGGTGAATATACATAAATGGAATCAAAATTAGGTAACTACCTAAAAGAAAAAAAAAAGATAGTTTACTGTAAATTTTAAGCCTTGAACTTCCGTGACTATCATTAGACTCATTTCTATCACCATTCTCTTTCTTCTATTTGTCGAGTTTCTTTTTTCATTTTCATCTCTTTTTATTAAACTTTTTCATCTAATGTTTAGTCGTCAAATCCACAAAGTCGAGGAGGAGGAGAAGGAGGAGGAGGAGGAGGAGGAGGTCACGACCACTACAATAATAATGATGATCACTATGAGCCGCCTCAACCGCCTCTGCAACATGATCACCATTATAATGATTGATAATGATGATCACTATGAACCGTCTCAACTGCTTCAACCGCCTCCACCACATGATCACCATTACAATGATGATCACCATGAACCGCCTCAACCGAATGGAGGACTTCTACAAATAGTGAAAAGGCATTCAGCTAATTATGGTTTTTCTTGTGTGTATAAAACATAATTTCTCTATTATAAATTATGAATTTATAATTTTAATGAGATTATAAATTTTTGAAAAAGTTATTATCTTTTTGATTTGTGTCATTTTTTAAATAAGATATTTTTATTAGTTTATAATGTTTATTTATTTACCACATATTAATTTATAGAATTTCTATTATATACATTTTTGAATGTTAAATAGTGAGTGTGTTTTTCTAACAAACCTTTTTTATTTCAGACTTTTAGAGCTTTTAAATTTAATACCTTATGTGTTAAAAATAATATGTTCTTACTCTTTCATCAAATAAATTGTGAATGATTATTTACCTTATCTTGTTGATATTGTGTGGTTTTTTCTTTATAAAACTTCTTAAAAACAAAATCAATTACTAATAAATGGTTATATTTTGATTTAATTTGGTTATGATATTCATCTATATAAATAGTCTATTGGATCTTATCTTTTCTTTCACAAAGTCGTGGAGAAATATATCACATATAAACTAAACATAAACAATTTATAAAGAATGACGTCAAAGCTTCACTTTGTTGTTCTTCTGATCGTTGGTGCACTTCTTGTGAACAATGGACTATCAACTCGTAAGTTACCTTCCATCATCTCTTTATCATTTTTATATAACAAGAAAAAAAAGCATTTGTTTACTTAAAGTTATATACGATTGTGATTATCTTATTCACTTTATAAGCTACTATCAAAATTAGGATTCTAATTCTAATTGATTTAACAGGAGTAACAGATGATGAGTTTTCACAATGTAGATTAAAAGGACGGCCCTGCCAAAAAATGCTAAACAGTTGTTTGGGGCAATGTGGAAGCCCTAAATATACTTTGTGTATACCTAGTCCTAGTGGAGAAAAATGTTGTTGTCTTTCTCACTAATTTGAATGAAGCTAAATTCTGTTATTGAAATAAGCAGTGATTATTTATCACTAAATAATTAATAACTTAAAACGCTATAACATGGACTTTATAATGAATTCCGAATAATTAGACAGTGTTTCAGTTGTATTCAAAAATATCATATCCAACATTTGTGACATAATATCGAATATCATACTCACAATCTTTGTCTATCAGATTTTTTTTTCATAGATAGAAGCGTTCCTTCCAAATGGAACTTGTAAACATTTTATCCCGATCCAAAACACTTGTAAACCTATAAAACTTTCCAATTTCTTGGATTAATGTAACCGAATTGGTCACCGAACTACAACCACAATCACTAAACTGAGATTATTGAAGTGAAATAGCCCTTCCATGAAATTCATTGACATTCCCAAACTTTTTTTGTGACCGAGAAAGGTTGCAAGAATCTTGCTGATGCCAAGATCGAATATCCATTCCTTTGAAAAGTCTGATACGCTACTGTGGCCTCCCATCTTGTTGTCACGATACTCCCTCATGATGGTATCTACTAGAGAAATTTTTTTTGGTATCAGCAGCTTTCGGTTGCCTAAGACTTGCCAAGACCTGCCATACTAGGTCAATATATGAATGGATAAGATAGTCACAAGGAAGTTGATTGGCTGACTGCTACAATATTTTTGATAAAGTTACAAATCTATGATAAATGAATTTCAAATACAAAGTTTGGTAGGATAAAAAATTGATCTATACAGTTAAAAAATATATAGGTATATACACTTAACGGGTAGATGTTAACATAATTTTGTTAATCGAAATTTTAAGATACCAAAAAAAAAAAACTTTAAGTTACTGATTTTTTTTTTTAATTTTTCATATCCAGCGCGACAGTTCCCCATTGTTTATTTTTTTCTGAAGTTATTCCACCTGGATAAAATTGTATAATCAGATAATGAACATTAATATTATGTTTTTCCGAAATTAGAAAAAAAAACTTTTAAAACTAAAAGGGTATGGTCAAAACTGAGATGATGTTACATCTTTATTCCAATTGGTTTTGTATATCATGTACATCAAACTCTAAAGACTAGTAGTTAGAATTTCCAAAGTTAATTCTAACAAATATAGTATAAGTTTCTGGATATTAACATTTTATCTAGACTTGTACTCGCTTAAACTTCCATTTTCTTACAGTTTAGCACCCAAAAAAAAAACCAATTGGGCTTTTGCTGAGCTAGAAGAAAGCAGGTCCAAAAAATAAATAAATATAAAATAAAAAGAGCTTCTGTTAACGCTAAAGCTAAGAAACGCCAAACGCGTTTCCACCTTATAAAAATCACAAACGCTGCTGATCTGAACGTACTAAAAATCGGATTTGAGTTGTTGTCGGAGAGAAAAACCAAACCATAGCTCAGTGTCGGAATCAAATTAAAATCTAGAGAGAGAGAGACACAGAGGGTTTAGATCCATCAGTCACAAAAGCTTATGCAGTCGCTACAACAACCCCTAGCGGTTAACAACCAGTCTGAACCAGACGCGCCGCCTAAGCAAGTGGCTCAAGCCATGGAACGTCTCAACCAAGCCGCTAGGGTTATCGCCGACATCCGTCTCGGCGCCGACCGTATCCTCGAAGCAATGTTCGTAGCCTCAAACCCTCGCCACAACGACATGCCTCTTCAGCTCTTCCTTAAAGAAGACGCATCAATGCGTCAACACCTTCAAGATCTCCGTTCAATTGGTACTTAACAAATTTTTGATTGTTGCATTGATATTGATAATGCAAAGTTAGGGATTTAATATTGCATTTATAATTGATTGGATCAGGGAAGAAGTTGGAAGAGTCTGGGGTTTTAACTGAGTCTCTAAGGTCAAGGAGTAACTCTTGGGGTCTTCATATGCCTTTGGTTTGTCCTGATGGTGCTGTTGTGGCTTACGCTTGGAAGAGACAGCTTGCTGGCCAAGCTGGTGCTTCTGCTGTTGATAGAACCAGGTTTTGAAATTGTTAGTTAATGACTTATGTTAGGTCTGAGTCTAGTAACTGAGTTTTGAAGATACATTTAGCTGTTAGTTCCTTCTAGAGGATTGTGGTTTATGTTTCATGGCATGTGGTGTTTGGTATGACATTATTGCTAATTGTTTGAGCATAACTAAGAGTTTTTTGAGAATTTTTTTACAGATATAAGCACCTAAATTTGTAAAAAAAATAAAATTGTTGAAACCTTTACTAAATCGCCTACAGCCCCTAAAATCTCAGGACCGGCCCTATAAGTTTAGTTTTGAATCTACAAACTAGATATGAAGTTCTATTTGGCTTTTAGTTTCTCTTGTAGGGTTGTGGTTTTATGTTTATTAAGTGATTATTAAGCGTATTGAATTATATGCAATTTGGAGTGTCATCAAGCTGGTGCTTCTGCTGTTGATAGAACCAGGTTTTGAAATTGTTAGTTAATGACTTATGTTAGGTTTGAGTCTAGTAACTGAGTTTTGAAGCTACATTTAGCTGTTAGTTTCTCCTAAAGGATTTTGTGGTTTTATGTTTCATGGCATGTGGTGTTTGGTATGACATTATTGCTAATTGTTTGAACATAACTAAGAGTTTTTTGAGAAAATAAAATTGTTGAAACCTTTACTAAATCGCCTACAGTCCCTAAAATCTCAGTTTAGTTTTGAATCTACAAACTAGATATGAAGTTCTATTTGGCTTTTAGTTTCTCATGTAGGGTTGTGGTTTTATGTTTATTAAGTGATTATTAAGCTCATTGAGTCATATGCAATTTGGAGTGTCATCAATTAAAAGCTTACTTACTAAACGTTATGCATTCTCCTCCATTTACTCTTCTGTTGTGAATGTAGTTTTCCGTCTGGTTTGTTAAGACTTTGACGTATAATATGACTCTTAATGACGATTGTAGTTTATGTTTCATGGCTTCTGGTGTTGGTATCACATTGTTGCTAATTGTTGAATGATTAGTAAGCGTATATTGAATCATATGTAGGTTAGCTCTCAAGGCCTTTACGGATCAGAAAAGGCGATTCTTTCCACACATTGACGACGGACACAAGATGGAATCAACATCTAAAAAACGTCGTGGCTCCAACTCACTATTAGAACATGGAGGAGAGGAGCCTGTTGAGTACAAGACATTACCAGATATACAGTCGCGTTTAGAGAAGCTGGTCCCGAATGTGAAGGTGTCTACTTATGGACGGTTGAGCTGGCTGAAAAGAGCTACTTCTTTACCTGAGTCAGGAAGTGATGATCCATCAGAAGAATCAAAACCTATTTTCCAGAGTTCTAGTAAGATGAGATCAGGGTTAGAGGATGAAGTTGTTGACAAGGTTGCTGTAATTGAATTATCGTTTCCTTCTGTATTCAGAGCTGTAGTCTCGTTGAATCCAGCTGGTTCAGTTGATCCAGATGCAGTTGCATTCTTCTCTCTAGATGAGGTAACTTCCACAACTCTCAAATGAAGTTGGTTTGTTTGTTTATTTACTCATGTTTTTGCTTCAACCTTATAGGGAGGAAGCTACTTACATGCGAGAGGCTTCTCGGTTCATCATGTTTACAAACACATCACGGTAACAGAGAATGCAATTATGTATATTGTTTTCACGAGTTTGATTGATTGGGAACTTATTAATTAGATTTTCTTGCAGGAACATGCTGCTACGGCCTTGCAATACTTCCTCAGCTTTGGTACCGGAACAGCTTTGTACTCTCTCCTGGTAAAGCATTTAACAAAGACTCATCGGTCTCTAGATAACATAAACCGTTTCTTTTGTTTGGGTCCATGAAAGTTAATTTACTCGTTTTCTTGTAATGCAGCTATGGATATGCAGTTTTGAATCCCTTTATAGTAAACCATGCAGGTAAATAAGCTATAGTCTCTCTTTTTTTTTTGATCAAAAGCTATAGTCTCTCTCATTGTTCTTCTATGTTCTAGTTTCTTGTTTTCCATGGACTAAACTTTTCACATCTCTGATGATACAGTAAATGTGGAAAGCTATTAGCAATGGATAAAAAGTCTTCTTTAATCCTACCTCCTATACACCGCGCTTATCAAGAATTGCCTCTTGCAGTCAGTCTCAACGTTTGTGAAGCGTACCATGCTGGTTGCTCATCAGATGCTTCTTAGTATTAGTGAGAGGTTCAATTAAAAGGTTAGAGAAAGAGAACTAACTTTGAAGAACACGTGTATGAATCTATATTGGCCTGTTTTCTCTCCTGTTGTTTGTGTCTCCCCATGTTGAGGTGAAATGCACATTACATCAGTTCCTTCTTTGTTTCTCTTCTCGGTTAAGACATGAGCGACATAGAATCAAGTGGCAACTGATGACACATATGTGAATGTTGTGTTTTTCTAGACATTTGATCTGTGTCACGTAAGATCAATAAGCTTATGTCTTATTATCTAGTGATTTTACATATGAAACTGATCAAGTCCAAACCTGAAGCTAAGGAAAAACACACATAAGAGTCACTAAAGAAGGATAAAACAAAAGAAACAGTAAGAAGGAAGACCATACATTTACTGATTTACATTACAACATTAAGACAAGCTTCCAAAACCAAACCAAAAGTCCTTCACTACTTCTTGTCTTCTTCAATACCACCCACCACAACACTCATCGTCTTCACATGGCATTCCTCTGGCACCACCACCGCCATTGACCTCCTCAGACCACATACTGTCCAGAGATACAAAGCCAACATTACCCCTAACGCTCCACATACTGCACCTAAGACCAAAACACCAAACATTCGCCATATGCACTCGTTTACATCCTCCCCCTCCTCCGTGGAAACATCAGCCTCTATTGCTTGATTCGGTTCAAGTGGCAGTGAATGCATCCACACAGGCGTTGGCTGCCTTATCTCAAAGTTCCATGAATGGAGGAAATGAGCCTTGGAAGTGTTACCGTTTATAGAGCTTAACCCCACCAAGAACTCACCACCATTCCATAACTCCCCTAAATCTACCGAGAAATAGAAGAATGGATCCAACATCTTTATCGAACCTGGTTTTCTAAATCTAACCATCACTCTCTTAGAAAGTGCTTCATACTCAATCATACAGTTCAACCTCCCTCCATTTTCCATCACCAAGTCACCCTCAAAAGAAAGGTTTCGAATTTCAGAAACTTCAGGTTTACCTATCAAGACTCTTGCATAGTTTCCTCTATTGGAAATATCAAACTCAAAAGCCACAACTGTCTCGTTCTTTGCGTACTCAAACAGAAACCCTAACGCAGAGGAACTGTTATCTTTCTTACTGAACAGACCAAGATCCAAACTAGTTGGAACCATAACAAAAGCCAAGACATCACCAACCTCATTAGGCATTGAGAACGAGAAGTAACTCGAGAAAGATAACGAGTTACTACTCTCTTTACCTTGGAAAAGATTGATGGGTTCCTTGTAAACGACTCTTCCCTCGCTTCCACTCACTGAGTCAGTCAGCTGAATCGAAGAAGCGTCACTGACAAGCTTCGAATCTCCAAACAAAGCAACGTTCTTGTCAAGACTCGGAGACTTTGCGAACCCATCAAACGAAAACGAGTAGTTCACACCTGCAGCTCCATGAATCTTGAAGGACAACAAAACGAGCGAAAAGGATAAGGCTTTGAATATCGACATAGCTTTAACTAAGTGAAAACTGGGTCTTTCTGATTTAAAATGGGTAAAGTGAGAAGCTCTTCTTCTTCTATTTCTATATGGAATCTTCAGGATTCGAGAAAGCATTCCACTTTTTAAGAGCGAAAAAGTATTTAGCTCTCAGAAACGCTCACTTTACTCTGTCTCTATCCTCTAGTGCTTGCTGACTAATGCTGTTTATTACATATACAATTTCAGTCTCTCTTTTTGTTTAGCATCTCACTAGTGTTGTCTGATGTATCCGCTATGTCTCAAAATAATTGATTTTAAAAAAAAATTACAAGTAATTACTAATTTTATTTACTTTATCTAGCTTTTATAAAAATTACAGTGACTACAACTAGTTCAACCAATAAAAAATCATACTGCAAAATACAAATAGTTTTAAAATTTAAATTTAAATTATCTATAGTATAAAAAATTGAAAACATTGATTAAACCGAAACAAAACAAAACAAAATCTTAAAATATCAAAACGAAAAGAATACACAATCGTAATGTTCCATTCATGGTTTGAAAAATGTGGTCTGACCGTGACTCGCTAAAGAAATAGATTACGGTTCGGTTTAAAACTGATATTTGAGAAAAATTAGTAAACCGATAAAATTAGTGATCCGGATTACCTTTAAAACTTTATTCTAAAAAATAACAAATAATTAATGTGTGTTTCAATTGTTATTAAAACTTAATATTTCATAATCAGTGTTTGATTACTACTAATTAAGGTTTTCTATTTAAATTTATTTAAAAATAAAATAAAATGTAAACAACTATATTTTTAGTTTTCATATATTATTCTTATTTTGATATATTCACAAAATCTAAGAGTTTTTTTGTAAAAAAAAAAAAAAAATAAATAAATAAATAAATAAATAAGGTAATTTAATCAATTAATAGTTTGATTTTTGTTTTTTCTAGTTAATAAAAGTGAAAAGTATATTATATATAGAATTACTTGTTAAATTTTTATAATGTAAATAAAAGATTATAACTATTTATTTATTTTAAAATAAAAGTCCGGTTTAACTAGTTGAACCGGTCCAACTAGTGAACTAGTAGATATACCTTTAAACAAAAACTAAGATTTTAAATAGATAAAGTAGCATATTTACCCCTCTATGTTCTATCTTTTACATTTTCACCCAATGTCTTTTTGTCACAAGTCTAACACATCTCCCCATAATTTGTCTTTAAAATCTCCCGTGTGCTTCTCTTTACTATTTTGGTCTCTCTCTCAACAACATAATTTCAGACAAACAAAGATGTCACCACGAGCATGCAAAAGAGTAAGCTTTAGTCCTAACCAAGAAGCGACTGAGGAACCCATATTCCCAAAACATCGAGACCAGAAAAAGGTGTTCCTCATTGGATTTCTCAGCTTCGGTCTCAAGAACTCGCCTGCTGGAAGGAAGCTTATCCGACGTATCCGAGCTAGAGTTTCCAAAACTCTGCGTTGTATGTCCTTTGGGAGGAGTACGAGCGACAAAACGTCATCGTTATTGATGGCTTCGTCGTCCTCTTCTTCATCGTCTATTTATATGACAAGGTCAAAGTCAGTAGCTGAGTCGGAGTCTCACAGAGCAGAAGCTATTGAAGACTGCATTGAGTTCTTAAACTCTTCATTTTCACTGTCTAGATCAAACTCTGTCTCAACGTGGTCTTCTTGATTTGATCCAGTTCGGATTCGGATCAAGTGGAACTCCTAGTCTCTTTTTCTTTTGGTGAAATGTTAAAAGAGTTGAGCATTGTGAATTGAGCATTGCACAGTGTATTTTAATATTTCTTCTTTTCAATTTACAAAACGAAAAAATTACTAGGTTATTGACTTCTTTTCAAGGCTCACTTTGCTAACCTTTTAACCAAAAAACAAGGAAAAAAATCATTGCAAACCATGGATCAAGGTTTGCTGGGAAAATGTTATTTAATGTTAGAACCTCCATTGTGTCCAAAAGTTAGCAAAAAAAAACCTACATTGTGTAACATAAGAGATAAACCAGGTTGATCAGAGCGAGGAACGTACGAGCGGACGCCCTAGCAAAGATGACATAAAGTAATGACACTCTCATTTACCATGTTGATCAGACCTGGCCGGACCGAGCGTATCTTTGAAACGACTCAAACTCGACTACCAATTGATCTTTAAAAATGTGTGTTGATAAAAAAAAAGAGATAGACCAAGTTTAAAATTGAAAAATTGAGGTCAACATCAAAGAACCAAAGACAAGAAAGTTCATGAAAAATCCCCACTTGGTTTTCTTGTTTTTTTACCCCACTAAAAATAATCCTTGTTAAGAGAAAAACAAGAGGAAAAATCCAATAGATTTCTTAAAAGAAGGATTTTTTCAACAAAAAGGAAAACACAAATTATTTTCATCATAACAAAACTTAAGCGTTTCAAAAATTGTAGGTCCATAAAACCTGACCTACATGCACAAAACCTATCGATAGAATCCAAAGAAAAGCTTATATTTTTTTAAAAAAAAGAATGTGTGTTCCTATCCTCTCAAGACGACCTTGTGTGAAAGTGGAAAGCACTACCAAAGTTGCAACAAAAGGTTTTATTACGCTGGCAAGAAAGCAAAGATTCTCTGTCTTGTTCAAAAAGGTAAAACATTTCATGAGTAAAGAGAACATTTAGGTTGAGTAGGTAGAGAAAGACAAAAAGAGTAGTTGAACTTTAGCTCTATGTAGTGTCTATACAATAGAAGCTTGCTCTCAAGACTAAAAGATATGCACAAGATCATAATGCTAACATAATATTTTAATTGGTTCAGTTTATTGACTTTTAAAATCTAAAACTGATGTTCTTAACAATCATAGATAGAGACCATAGATCAATTAGATACAATGAATTGATGAAGATTTTTTTTTCTTTCTATCAGTTCCACCACAAGTGCTTCTATGGGTTTGACCTTTAGCCTCAGGCATTTCACTTGATTGTTCTTGAACTTAATTTTCCCACTCAACTATAACCTAACCTAGTCTCTCTCATCACTTATCAACTATAACCATAATGTTACAAAGCCAAAAACTATCTGAATCCATTCACAACAGAAGAGACAGCTGGTGAGTGTTACAACACTAAGGTTTGAATCTTGTTCTTCTTCATTACAATATGTTCAAGTGTTCTCCCAAGAAACAAAACATTTTCCTACAAAGTAAGAAAAATTTTACACTTTCCCCGGGAAAAACAGAACCGCTTGAATCTTGATCATCGTTCTTACACGACACTTATCACACTAGAGGCATTAGAACTCTCCCAGACCTCAACACCTTCCATACATTCCCTAGAAACAAACAACCTATCACCACCAGCCTCAACTCTCGAAATCACCCCTCTCTTACAATCCTCTCCCTTATCCACAAAGTTCCTTCTCCGAACCAAACCACCACTCCCCTTCCCTTCAACACTCGACCAAACCTCCAACGAACCACCTCTCGCTGCCACCACTTGCTTCCTATAACAATGCACAACACTATAACCTCTGCTTCTCCCCCCCTCGTCTGCACTCCACGCGCCAGGATTCTCGTCTGACACATAAACCCACGGATCTTCCCCTAATTTACGAAGATCTGCCACTCCCAGATCGCCCGACTTAGAACACACCTTGTAGATCACCGACTCCTCAACGTCCACGTCCACGTCAGCTAACGCGTCTCCGAACCTACTGCTTCGTCCCGAACCTGGCTCACTCGTCTCCCACACAATGTCCCTCGATCTCGGGTCCCAGATCCGGATATACCCGGAGCATCCGAATACTCCGCGCTGGACCGCGGATCCGATTAAAAGACCGTTATCTGGGACCCACCGAAGCTTCTCAGGTACAGAATTTTTAGCTGAGCTTCCTGATTGTTGACCGATCACGGCGGTTACTTGGAGAGTTGACTTATCGATCTGGAGGACGCTATTCTCTCTATGCAAGCAATCGAACGAAGCGAACACTCCACGTGGAGAATCCGTAACGGCCGCGACTCGCGACTTATGGATCCTCGGATCCTCCGGATCCGTCCAATGCGTGGATCCGAGGTAACGTCCGCTCGAGAGATCGTAGAAGTGAAGCCCCGACGCGGATCCAGATCCGATCGCCGCCGCCTCGTCCCACACGCGGCAGATCGAAGTGACGTCAGCGAGATGCGTCCGTACGGTCACGGCGTGGGAGAGACTCCAATCGTAGACGGAGATCATTCCGCCGTGCGCGATCCAGAGAGAAGCGTCTCCGGCGGTCGCGGTGAACGCGGAGGGAACTCCGTCGGTGGCCGGGGTGATTGTGGAGGTTAGGGAAGCGTCGAAGGCTTGGAGCGGCGGAGGTGACATCGCGGATCGGAGGAGGGACTCGACGCCGTAGTAGAGAGCTTCGTCGAGGAGCTCTTGTTTGGAGAAGACGGCGGAGGAGAGGCGTTTGGTTCGGAGGAGGTTGAGGATGACTGAGAAGATCTCAGGGTCGCGATCGATGAAGATGGGGTTGGATCCATGGGAGGTTGGGGTGGAGGAGAGAGCAGCGAGGAGAGAGTCTGGGCAGGTTGATTGGATTGTGGATGAGGTTGTTTCGAAGATTTCGCCGCCGACGTTGAGCTTCAAGCGGTTGCTTACATCGGAGACCATAATCGCTTTTTCCGGTTTGAGGTTTCGAGTCGGGTTGGAGCCGGTTATGTTAATTGGGCTGAGGGGAAGAGATGTGATTGTAAGTGATGACGATGTCTGTATATGGGCCTGGCAGGCCCAATTGTTATTTCATTCCCAACGCAAATCGCTGAATAAGTAGTAGTGCCTTAAACGCGTCTATGTTAGTAAACCCTCCAAAGTCTTGGTAATTACTTTTTTAACTATCTAAAAATATAATATTTTAAATTTTATAACTTCTTATGTATAAATGATTAATTATAATTACTAATATTATTTATAAAATTTTATAGAATATGAATGTGTTATTTGTAAACTATTGTAACATATTATATTATTTATAAATCTAAACATTTATCCAACTGATAATCTAATTTTTTTATTAAACGTTTTTAGAGAAACGATTAACCCGATCTCTTAACCGATCAACCTGTTGATATATTTTTGTTTTTATATACTTTCGAAAAAAAGAAATAAAAAGACGATATATTTTTGTTTTTATATACTTTCGAAAAAAAGAAATAAAAAGACGATGCTTAATTTTTATAATTAGTTAAATTAAAAAAGTTAAGAGTCATTTTTTATGGAAAATTCTCTCAAATAGTCTTTTTTAAGTTTTTATCACAAAAATAGACCTCAAAAATTAAAATAACTAAAATAACATTTTTTATTTTGAAAATTTTAAGTTTTTTTATTTTTAAAAATTTGAAACATATCCCCAAAACCTCACTTCTCAACTCTAAAAAAATCTAGAATTAGTTAAACCAAGGGATAAAAATGTATATTTAATAAAACTTTTAAGTGCTATTTGATCATTTTGATTGTTAAGATATATATTTGTGACAAAAAAAATTTTAGGTATATTCTAGACATTTTTTTTTATCCTAAATAAGAAATTCACTTAAGATATTGGGGTTAATCACGCTCTTATATCGTAGTGTTGTTGCTAGCTTAGCGCCTAACGATATGCCTTAAGTCATCGATCGCATAGTGACTTATTCCTTTTAGAACACTGAAAATAATAATTACGTGATTGTAACGTCGACCTCAAGTCTTCGATTGAAATTCTGATGAGAACTTTTGTTTGGTGGAGACCTGGAATTTGATTAATTAGAGTTGGTCGAAGTTTCTTTCATTCGGAAAAAATATAATTAATGAGTTTTTCATTATTAATTACAGTCTAAAAGCTATTCTACAATGGTGTAATTAACTTACAAAATGAAACAAAGTACTATGATACAGAGATTCTCTCACAGATCACACAATGATCTGAAACAATTTTATCCATGGCACTACCTTCCTCAATTTCAAATTTGCTACTAAACTTATTCCACAAATGCAACCCGTAGCTTCTCCTCTGCATCTCAAGAACCTTAACTTCAACTCTCTTCATATCCTTCTCTGTTCTTGGAACCTTGAAAAGCTTCCCAATCTCAATCCAATTAACCGAATAAAAAGCAGGAGGCGTCATAACAGTGAAGTTATAACCATCACTTCCTTCAACAGCTCTAGCCACTCTAGAAACAAGATACGGTCCGTTATGCCCCCAAACATTCCCGTTGAAAGTCAACGCAAACTCTTCAATACATTTCCTCAAGAGAGGATGATTCTTATCGAAAACCAAAACCGCGTTGTTCAACCTCGTCCAGTTTCTTGAAACCGGTTCAAGAGTCTGCGCACCGATCACGTTCCTTAAACCTTTAAAACTCTTCAGCACTATCATGTCTGTGTCTAGATAAACACCACCGAACTTGAACAAGTACGCGAGTCTCATTAGGTTTGAGAGATTCTGAGCTAAAGAGATTTTCCCAGGATCTCTCTTCCCTGTCTGAATCTCCTCAAGCCATGACTCTCCCGCCGTGTCTTTGACCAGAAAAGGTAGATCAGGAGTTATAGCTATAACTTTGTAACCACGATCAAGAAACGGTTTCAAGACTCTAAAACCTCGAGGAGAATCCATCGTAGATGATAAAATGATTAAACAACCTTTAGGATGAGATTTAAAAACGCTTTCTACAGACAAAACCTCTCTCTTACCAAACATCTCAGCAGGGGAGATCCACGTCATCATGAAGTTAACTTCACAATCATCTCTCAAAAACTCTGTTGCTCTTTGCTGAAACTTCTCCGACACGCCTTTGCCTCCGAAAGTCTCGAGAATCTCGAGATTGTTATTCTTCTTGACTGTGATACTGTTGACAACGTGTAGCTCTTTCTCTGATCTTAGAGGTAAGTATGGAACAACTGTTTTGATCTCTATCTTCACCACCTCAGAGATCTCTCTCACCGGTAAGTTAGATACGATAACGACCGTGAAAACGATCAGAGCTATTACTGAAGCAGCAAAGGCTGTGAAGAGTGATGATGATCCGGATCGGTTTAACCGCCGGTGATCAAACATCGTCGTGACTTTCTTAGCTAATTCACTATCCATTTTTTGGAGGTAGGAGAAGAGAAATGAGTTTTGTGAAGAACGTGTTTTTTAGTTTTTTGTCTTATAATTTGTTGTGTGAGAAACTTTTTAGCTTGGTGTTGAAGCTGTCGTGTTTTGAAAAGTTTTTTAAGCCGCCAGAGAACGATGAAGTCTACGTTAGACTTCAATTTTGTTATTAATTAATTACTTTACTACTTTTTAGTTATGTAAACTAAATTGATGGGGGACCATAACCATAGAAACGATCATGATTTTTCCACATTTTATTGTATATTTTTTTAGAATGAACTAAAAAATGTTGACGACTTTTCTTTCTTCCATGATCTCTTTTTGATTATATCCACAGCAAACAATGGTCAGAATAACTCGGTTTGAGTTTGAATGCAGCTATAGTAGGTAGTGATGATGTCTTGTTATCTTCTAGGTGGTTTAAGATGGTTCTCCTTGACCACTGGCACTGTGTTAAGAAATTTTCTATAATCTAGTATAGATTAGAAAAAAACATTGGTCTATGAATGGAAGAGATTTAATCTTTTATGGACACCATACATATAATTGAAGTTTTTCAGACATTGAAATGCTCCAAATAAATCAAGGATCCTCCGGTTTAGAAACTTTTACATCTAAACCGGTTTTTAATTTTGAATTAATAATTTGGCTATTCTAACTAAGAAGGCACCTTAAAGGCTAAAAGTGAGTTCTAGTCTTCTAGATAGTAGATGTGTTGAGGGAGGCACTTTCCTAGCAGATCAAGTAGTTGATTTTTTTTTTTAGAAAATACTTTGTCTAATCAATTATTCATATTAAAGTAAGTTTAATTGGAAATTAAAACAAGAAAAAGAAAGGATTGAATAAGTCTCACCTACATTTTCATCCACACAACATGTCACGTTATGGAAGTATCTCTTGACTTAGACAATCGAATGAATAGTTAGGTGCATAAAAATCCTTTTCCAAATAATTATCTTCTTCATTTTTGACGTACAATAATAAACTAATAAGTTTCAATCATTCAAATTCAAGGGAATGTTGCAAAATCATGCCAATTATTATTTTGAACACAGTTGGACTTCAGGACATAGGAATATACTGCATGTCAGAGACAACTAAACTGAATGGCATCTATGGTGATTGATGATAAAATATTGCAAGTAGTATAATAAGCTTCAAATCTAAAACGTTTACAACTTACCTACTATTCAAGCACTACGCATGGATACTAAAGTCATTCTTTAGTTGTTTTAATTCACTTTCTTCTGATGAATTCAAGTTCTTTGACAACGTGAAGCCTCTCTCTTTTCATTCTTTTTACTTCGTATCTTTTTGAGAGGACGCTAAATAATGTAGGTGAAAGTATTCCATTAAAATGCAGTTGCTCAAGGCACTTGAGATTTCACCACCAGACAACTTTGTTTCTGAAACATCAAGAGACACCAAGATTACTGATTAGTCAATACGGGATAGATTAAGGGGACACCAGTACTTACTTAAGCAAGACTCATCAGCTCTTTAGGCAGACAGCTGATTCGTGGAAACATCTTTGGATATTGTAAGCTCTGAGCTTGTATATCAAAAATACTTGAGCTGCAATCTCAACCATTTGACTTCAATGTTCGAACCATGATTTGTAAGTTCTGGTTCTTGGATGAGACTAAGCTAAACCATTAACTTACAAGAGCAAACCAAGTTTGCTAGTCATTTCATATCATATTTTTTTTTTTGATAACTGAATGTCCTGGTCCAGACTAGAGTCCGATCCTTGCGTGGTGGGTACTAGTTAGGTGAACACGATCTTCGGTCTCGGACGCTGGAGGATCCGCATGTTCCAGTGGCCGGATTTCGAACCCATGTGGTGGAACTCACAACCGTGAACCCTTTACCACTTGGGCTAGAAGTCCCGGTTCATTTCATATCATAATATTTATGTTTGCTTTGTGAGAAAATTTATGAAGGACAAAAGACATTTGATACCTTAGTTTTCATAGACTTTACGAACAATCGATTACACACACGTTGTTCAAGTATGGTAACAATAACAAGAACATGTGATATATTGTATTTATAAGTCAAGATATGAACTTAGGGAACTGATCTCGCGGAGAAGAAAAGCTTCTCTCGCTGAGAAGATCATCGTTTTCAGCTTCGTTCCCATCTAAGCACAAAATATTGATGTTGTCCAAAGTCGGTTCAAATGAGCTGACAGTACTGCTCGTAGCCACCGGAGAGTTGGTGACACTATTAGACTGGCTTCTCACGCTGTACATTGATGATGCCGGAACTTTCGTCACAAGCGGCCGGAGATTCCCTGTCATACCTCCTCGTCTTATATCCTACACACGTAGAAACCGACAGGTACTAACGTTGTTATTAACACACGCCCGCATGCTACTCTAAAAAAAAGAAAACAAATACTCCCTCTCTTCCATTTTTTTGATATTTAAATTAGTTTTTTTTTTGTTGCAAAAATAAATGGCGTTCTCACTATTATAGATAAAATTCAAATGTGATATTTGTAACCAATTTACAAAATACAGCATTCTATTTTATTGATTAAACTAGTTTTATTTATTTTATATTTGATCAAAAACTGGTTTTACTTAATACTATTTTTATGGATTCAGAACTCCCGATTAGTTTGTAGAGTCATCATGAGAGCCCCAGATTGGTTTGCAGAGTCGTCATGAGTCTGAATTTTATTGTTAATGACAAAAAAATACTAATTTTTATATAACTAAGATAAATTGTATAAAAAATTGTATTTTCTAATTTTTGTGTAAAAACCTTAAAGAGAGATGGAGTATTGTAAAGAGTGATCGTACCATATGTCTCAAGGCCATATCAATTGAGCTCTTTGAAAGGTTTCTCCCATAGCCAAGGCTGTTAAAAGCAGAGGTAGATTTAGCAGTTCCTCGACCACCACCGCTCTCTGTTAGCCGTGGTGGACCTAGTTTCCTCATGTTCACAACTCTCTCAACCATTTTATTACCCATAGCAACTGGGCTATCACCATTGTTGACCTTTCCTCGCCCACGTGCACCTGGGAGGAGGCTCCCGTTGGTGTTCCCAATAGGAGCTCGGCCTCTTGACGGGGAGCAAGACTGCCTTCTTACATGTCCAACGCCACCACTGGTGGGACCGTTGCCACGTTCTATGGAATTTGATCTTGAGCCTGGTGCTGAGGCTACACCAGGTCTGCCTCTTGTAGCTGAAATTGGTCTATCTGATACAGAAGTCCTTAGATTCGGTGGAGCTTCTAAAGAGAAACCAGGCATCTCCCGCGGCTTCGATGACTTCAGAGTTGGAGTTGGAGAAGTCCCTCGAGAGGGAGCTTTACTCGAAACTATTGATGGACCGGTCGGTGTTGGAGACCTGCGGGTTGGTGTGGAAGGTCTTGATAGAGGTTTTTTAGAAGGTTGAGTCTTGGTCCGAGTTGGAGTAGCTGTTCTAGCTGGAGCTGTTGTAGAGGTAATAGCACGTGCAGCAGTTAAGGTTGCACGTGAGGTAGGTGTTGAGGATCTAGAGTTTGTTGAAGTTCTGGTGAGCACAGGCCTTGTTGTGGTGGTGGTTGGAGTTGTAGACCTTCTGGTTGGTGTGGAAGGTCTGCTCGTGGACCTTGAGCTACCTGATGAGGACGGTCTTCTTACAGAGGACGATGCCACTTGGGGCTGATTATCTTCACGGCAGTTCCCTAGCTGCAGAACTCAAACAAGAGTTTAATCAATGTTTAGTAAAGAAACATGAATCACTTCTGTCTTAAACAAGATTCATACCCGAGATTTAAGAGCCGTGGGACGAGAACTGGGAGCATCACTCTGTTCCATTACGCTTCTATGTGATTCTTTCTCAAACTGTGGCGTGCCTGGAGGCGTAAGCAGCCTGAAGAAGAGACAAAACCATCAACAAAAGGAAAGACCAGACATTCGATGATTACAAGATTGATTTAATTATTTTCTAATATAAAAAAAAACGGAAACATTACCAATCGTAATCAGATTTCTCATTCTCTGAATACAAGAAGTTCTCAGCGGCTGTTCTCCGGAGAGGATAACGTTGAGACGATACCGTTTCACTAGAGAGCGCAGACGTCAACGCTCCGTTGATGCTAGTATTATCAGATCCTAAGAGAGGCAAAACACACAGTTTAAACACCATTGCTGAAACATATATGTATTAATTAGAAATGGTTATGTAAGTTTACTTATAGAAGAACCTGTTAAAAGAGATTCTCCTCTACGTTCTTTCTCGCGTCGACGCATCTCAAGGAACATAGAGAGTTCTTCATCTCTGTCGTGTGTCAACATTTTTGATTGAAGGTTTCTGGGTCTCTCGTGTCTGAACTTAAAACAACAACGAGGAAAAAAATCTCCAAAACAAAAGGAAACAAATAGAATCTGACCAATCAGATCTGAGGAGATCACACTAATGGGACCCCCTCGAGAAAGCTAAAAGCCTAGAACATCTACCAATAAAATCATAGCAAGAACATAAGATACGAACTCAGAAACGTTTTTTTTTATTTGATCTAGAGAGAAAGATAGAAGTTTTTGAGTTGAAGAAGAAGAAGGTGGGGAAGATGTTCGTCTCGAGGAGTTTTTTTTATTTTTTAAAATTTATTATTTGGTTATAAAAATTTAAAATTCCAATTTCAAACCAGACAGGTCTTATTTGTACCATCTCTCTTGTTTTTTTCTCCTATTTGTATTTAATTTAATTGAGTATGGTTTTGAAAGTTTGAACAAAACACGAAGCATCGGGTTCAAAACGCAAGAGGATCTGACCAGACACGTTGTGCAGTCTTTACCCATGAACATGATATTTAATTACGAAAAAGGGTACTTGTCTTCAGGTGTAAGGTACGATACATTTTGTATCCCACGCAAAAAAACTCTTTTATCGTTCGATTAGTCTTTCATTTTAGCCACATAAACCAAGTTACGTTGCTCGCAGTTGTCATCACTAAGTTAACGTGTCGCTTTCAGTAAGTTGTCCAGATAAAATCTCTATTTTCGCAAGGAAATTCATTTTATATATTTCATTATATAGATCTTGTTACAAGAGGCATGTAAGTAGAAGCATGCATATACCAAAGTTAGTGTCTGAATTGGAGATTAAATGGTTCAAAACAAAATTTCTAACATTATAATCAAGTTTATAAATATTTGGGTTCTTACTTACTTATGCTTACCCGAAAAAATTGTGGAGTTTTTGCATTGACCACTTAACCAAATATCTCCAATAACTATAGGCCCTCGTATAAAAGAAAAGGGAAGCCCGTTTTTATTCTTCGTCACTTCCAATCATGGGCTCGTCCTCGTTCATGTCGTATCCGCCTCCATCGGGTCCAAGCACTTTAAACCTGCTCACCATTGGTTTACACACAACACATCAAACATTAAGTTTGGGGACAAATCAAGAAGTCAAATGTTGAAAGATGAAAAACCTTTCAATGATGAATTTTCCTTCCTTGTACTTCTGAGACTTTTCGTATGCAATTTCCTGCGTAGGAAAAAATCGAGAGAATTAGTATCAAAGAATCACAAAGAGAGTTGTTTAGAAGAGTGAGGTTTTTGTAGTATTTGTACGTATTTCCAGCCAACAAGAGAGCCACAGGAAACGCAGAAGATGTCAGCAACAGTATGCCAACCAGTCATCATGATACGATGCTCCATCTCTCCAATAGTCACATTGACACTATTAAATCCAACAAAAAAAGAGTTGATAGTAGAATAAGAGAGCCTTGTCAACAGGATTCAATGTATTATGATCATAGATTCCTCTTAACTTACACATTTTCGAAAAGATAAGCCCTTCCATGCTTGCAGTGAAATGACTGCAAAACAAAACCAACACAACGCTGAACATCAAAATCAGATAAATGTTTGTTCAATAGTTAAATCCAAACATTCAAAAACAAGAAATTGAGAAGTCAGTTCCCAAGTTTTTTTCCAAAATGAGAGGGTTGTGTGTGTTTCAAATCATCTGGTCTCAATGATCAAAATGCAAAAGAATGAATGGATCACAAAGACTTGTCTATGTGTGTGTTTCAGACATCATAGTCCCCCATGAAAAGTTGAGCATATTGTTGAAGATAATTAATAAGAAAAAAAAAAAACCTTAGAGATGAGATCATCGATAAGTGCGAAAGGAGTGTGACAATGCTTGCAGGTATAAGTTTCTCCTTGGAGGTCGATCACAAATAGTCTTCCCATCTCCAACAAAATCCACCTATCTGAAAAACCACCAACACATCTCAAATTTTTCGTAACCGATCTTAACGTAATATGCAGCAAAAAAAAACAACAACAACAACAATGAAGGTTTTGAATCTTCTGATCTGATACGAAAATATACTGAAGCCGCATCGATTGAACACAGAAATAAACCAACACAACACAACACAACACAATTAACGATGATGGAGAAAACTACAACAAACGCTGCAAGGGGAAAAACATAATCAAAATAACAAGAGAAATTACCCGGGATTCATTAATAACATTAAAATTAATTTGGTGTACCCGAAACGCGTTAATCTCGAGAAATAAATAAATAAAAGCTTTCGATCAAAAATGTCAAAAAGGGGTAACTAGAAACTTGCGTACTTCGCAAGACGCCTACTGACAAAAAAAGTAGGAGAGAGAGAGAGAGAGAAACGGAGAAATAAAATCTCTCTCCCTTGAATTTTCCAGCGAAGGGAAAAGACTCTCTCCCAGACGACGATGAGAACAATTCTTACGCGTGAAGAAAGTGGAACAGCCAAAACTGATCTTACCCGAAGGAGAAACGCCAGAGCAAACAACAGAGAGAAGAGAGAGAGGTTTCGAATTTTTTTTTTTCATGCATTTATAATAATGTTTTTTGATTAAATAGCAAGGGATACGGCCCATGGCCTTTCTCTCCAAGGAAATTAAAATTTAGTGAATGACACTTGTTACTTATCTCTATCCCCATGGGTTACTTGTAGTGGATTCGGTTCAAATTCAATTAATGGTGTGTTTTAACCGGTTCTATAAATAAGATTTGCTAAATAACCATAGCTAAACCGAACCAAAAGTGTGAGCTAAAACTAAAACCTTTATATCACGTCTAATAAAAAAGAATGTGTTATCACTGAGACATGACTTTAATTCTGGTTTGAGAACGGGGTATACATGTGGTTAGCAAAAACAAATGTTAAATTTCCATAGAGAATCTTGAGGAACACGGAGATGAATGAATAGACCCATTTTGATTATATAAAATGCACACCATAAAAAGCGTGAGCACGCAGTTCTACAAATTGTGAAAAAATGGAAAACCAAAACTCGAACTTTCTTTCTTTCTGATAAAATCACTCTTTTGGTGTAAAGCAGATTCCACAATAAAGAATCTTTCGAGGAAGAGAATATTCGTTTGGAAGAGGAAGAAACTTTACCTTTACTTCCTTCCCTTTTATCCATTTAGCTTTATTAACCAATCTTGCTTACTCTTTGAGGTGGCCACACCACACCACTCACCCGTCCTCTAATTAAACCCAAAGGAATCTGCATTAAACAAGTTTTATACGCATCAGTCACATGGTAGAAGCCTTGAAAAGTTATCATATGGACCCCACCTACGTTCAAAGTCTATGAAGAAGATATGTACAGAAGCAGATGACTTACAGGGCCAAAGGTTCTGGAGTCTAAGCTGGAAGCTTTGTTATCTCCTTCTACCCAACAATGTCCTTCTGGGACTCTTATCACATCCCGTGAACTACTTATCCATTCCCCAGGCATCCCCACTATTCTCTTTATGTATCTATCCTTGAAATGAGTTGGAGAGCTGCCACAAATATAAAATATCCAATTGTCAGAACCTCATTTATGTACTTCAAAATATATAATACACCACAGTGTCTGAGGAACATTATGAAAAATATCTGAGAACTGAAGGAACTAGAAAAAAAACTGAGTTTTGGAAGCAAAAGAAAAGAACAGAATCCAAATTTGATTTCATGGCCAAAATATTTAGACTCCATCATATATAAGGTACAACATTTTTTAAAGGTTATAGTGGACTAGTTTTTTAATAACATTGCCAATGCTGTAAGCATCTAATAAAAGACATAACAAGCGCTCAACATGTAGTAATCAAACATCCTCATTATGTAGTTTATCTTCTCTTTTCTCAAAGGATAACATACCTGAACACTACAACATCACCACGCGCAAACTTGTAATCGTTAAGACAGAATTTCTCAACCAAAACATAATCATCTGCACCAACAGAAATCAAATAATAAGGAAGAATGGATTAAAAGGGTGTAATATCTTCCCAGCACCATTTACCTAGATAAGAATTTCGTTGGGGATTGAATGTCGGAGACATGGAATCTCCTCTCACCGGAACAACGCTACAAAATCTATCTGAAATGGTAATCCCTATTATACCTCCAGTGAACGCTTTCTTCGTCACTTGCCATATAAGATTCTGGATTCCCATGTCTAAAGATGGCTTATCTACTAATATATGATGCTCAGCAACAGGCATATAACCATCTGCAACAAAACCAAAACGTTCTAAAAAGGGCTGATACATCTTTTAAATTCTATTTCTAATACAAAATGACATAATCACAATTCTTCAATAAGCTTAAAGTTTTCTTGAGCCACTAAGATTACATCAGATAAAAAAAAAAAAAACATTTCCCATCAAACTATGCTGAACCGAGTGATATAAACCTTAATGTATTCATGGAATTGTAGATATGTAAAACATAGCATTTTTTAATTCAAGAGCCGATCTAGTGAACATAAGTTACGGTGAAATAAGTGAACTAAACCCTAATAGATTCATGGAACTGTAGGTGTTCAGCTGAAAAAAAAAATTTGGAATCTACTAATCGAGCAATGAAAAACAAAATTTCTAAGGTCATGGTAATAACCTGACAATTGAAAAAGTCGAGGAGAAAGAAGCTGAGATGTGTAACAACCACCTGCAAATCGTGTAGCGAAGAAGAGAACCACAAGTCGCGACAATGTGAAGAAGAATCAGGGTTTTTCTTTAGCTGATAAAACACAAAACCTCTGACTTGATTAGAGGGCTTTAAGTTTTACCGGTTTAGTAAGGAACAACGGGTCGACCGGTTATAATTGAATTTTCTCCGGTTTTCGGGATCAGAGGTCTAGAAGGTGTAAAATGTAGCTAAGCCTGGCATTCGGATATTCGGGTCAGTTCCGGATAGGAACCATTCGGTTCTGGGTATATCGGATAAATCGTTCTTATACCCAATAGATACTTATGAGATTTCGGTTCGGTTTCAGTTTGGTTTCGGTTCGGTTCCAGATACCCATTTAATATATAAATCAAATATATATACACAGAATATATTAGTTAATATGTTAATTTAAATGATCTAGTGTTTACACGCTTACATATTAGATCCAACAAGATTTTGAATCAATAAAATATTAATTTTATAATTATTTATCATATTATAATATAGAAATATCATATATATTTATAATATAACAAAATAAATAAAACGTAATGTGGTTTGATGGTAAAAATTGTACTTACTCTGTGGATTCAAGTGAGCTTAATGTCTATTTATCTTATTTTTTAAAAAATTAACTTATTCTTTTCGGATATTCGGATATCCGTTCGATTTAAGGTTCCGGTTTTTCGGTTCCAGTTTTTTTGGCCAAGCCTAAATGTGCAGCGTTAAGTTGACCGGATCTCTATTTGTGTGAAGCAAGCAACCATCATTATACTCTTTATAAGCATTATGCTCCAGAGTGTATACATTCATAGTAATTACAAATTAACCTTAGTTCCATGTTTATGTAAACTCTATACCTATAAAACTATTTCACCCCACGTCTCTCTGACACAAGACAATACACAGACTTTCCCTCTCCAAATACAAAGTAGCTTGCAACACAGGACTCATGAAAAAAGATAAAAAGGATGTAAAACTAGCCCTGAAGAAACAAAACTTTCATTTGATCTGAGGTTTCTGTCTTGTCTTTGTGAACTGTATGTCTCCGTTCAGAACAGCAGCTACGAATTTTTCAGCCTCTTCCATAGTCATGTCGCCTTTAAACGTAGCAAACTTTCCTCGTTTGGGCTTGTATGCAATTAGAAGCTTATCAGATGATTTGAACTCTGATTTGTCAAATGAGCTCAAGAACGAAGATTGCTTTGCCGCGTCTACAAGGGAATAGGAAACTGTGTCCTGAGAGCCAGTTCCTGAAGCTTGTCGTCTAGACAAAGACTTCTGTGACACCTGAACAAAGAGCAGAGTCAAGAGAACTATTCAGCAATCATGTCAAAGAACCAAAAGGGTCTAATTTATAGAGCAAACGGGATGAACACTTTGCTTACCCTAGACAATATTGAGTGCAGCTTCTCTTTACCCTGTGCAGATCTGAAAGCACCGATGATACAAACAGGAACGTTCTCTCCACAAATGGAATCGAAATTAGTCCTTGAGAGAAGATGTATCTTTTCTACGGGCTCGCTCTTTGCTTGGCCAGACTGACTATTTGAAGAGACCTTTTTGTTCTTTTTCTCAAATGCTTCAAGCAGTTTACCAATCTCCTGGACTGCTGATTTTAGATTTTTCACAGTGATCCCTGTTTTCAAGACTTGCTTCTCCCCATTCGATAACCAGCCAACTATTGCTGGAAATGCATCAACACCTAATTTCTTAACCTTCGGATCAGACGTATCATGTACCTACAAAAGACCATGAAAAGACTATTGTTTTAGTATCTCGTCCGAAAACGTGAACCAGGAAACCACACTAAATTCTAGGACCAGGAGATTCACAGCCAAAATGTACCATACCTCTGTGTTATAGAAGACAAAGCGTCCATTGTACAACCCACTAAGAACACGCCAGATAACAGGAGTGTCTTTCTTTGTTGACAAAAGCATAACTCTAGGAATCCCTTGTGAGCTAACAGCAGAGACATCGAAGGTATTCAGGTCAACCCTTTTCGAGAATCTCGGTAAATGTTCCTGGCAGAAGCTTTTCACCTTCTTTGCAACAAGCTCCTCAGTATATTCTGCTAAGGTAGCTTTGCCACTCGATGTGTATGAATAAACAAACAGCCTTGGAGCCCTACGAGGAACTACGCCAAGTTGTTTGCAAAGAGAAGATTCTGTTTCACAATTTATACGCCCAACCTATAAACAAAACCCAAAACAAAAAACATGAAGATCAACCAAGTTTATAACTAACATTAACTAAGCTTTACCAAAAATCAACAAGCAGATGTTTTTACCTTTAATGCTCCTTGCAATGACTCAGCAACTTCCTCTATGACCGATTCATGGTACTGAGTTCCTCTTTGAGATGGAAGATAAGACAGCAGAAGCCAAGTCATCCCTTGGTCCACAATTTCCTTCTTATAGACCTGAGAAGTTACGGTTTTGATAGTTACCACCGAACCACTCTTTGACCGAGACTCAGACTTAGATGAGCCACCACCAAAGCCACCAAACCCACCAAACTGATCACTTCCTTTAGAACCACCTCCAGAGAACATGGAAAAGATATCATCCATCCCAAAACCGAAGGAACTTGCACCAGGACCGCCACCACCACCACCGCCAAATGAGAAGGAAAACGATTTGGAACCGCCTCCACCACCACCACCTCCCATATTCTGCCATCCACCTGGTCCTCCAAAATTGAAACCACCACCTTGTCCACCTCCTGAGGAGTATGAATACCCACCACCATTACCTCCATGAAAGCCTGATTCAAATCCAGGCTGTCCCTTTTCATCTCCATAAAGATCATAGTTCTTCCTCTTCTCTTCATCAGATAAAATCTCATAAGCTGTTGCATACAAAACCAGGGTTTAAACTTGTCAAAGCCAAATCCACACACATTTAATTTAAAAGACTTTTTTTTTTTTGATCAACCATTTAATTTAATTTAAGAGACTAAGTCTTTTAAATTACGAAATGATGATATAAGATAGAAACCCACCATTATTAATCTCAGCAAACTTCTCCTGAGCACCCTTATTTTTGTTTTTATCCGGGTGATATTTCAGAGATTGCCTACAAGAAAATTAAATAACAATCAACATGAGTGTTACAAAAAACAAAAAAAATTGAGATCTTGATCACTGATTTAAATTCTTCAAATAAAGGTACGCACTTGTGGAAAGCTTTCTGGATTTCACGTGGCTTTGCATCCTTAGATACTCCAAGAACCTGAAATGTCACATAAACGTATTAAAACATAGTATTTGCATAATAAATAATCTTTCTAACCAATGACACGACTTCTGAGTCTTTTCATAATCTGTCAGCAGTCAGCACCGGTTTCGATTTCAATTTGCAATTAGAGTCGTAACAAATCATTTGTGAAACAAAAGAGAAACTTCAACTACGAAGTTGTGAAGAAGAAATAAGAAAAAGACGCGTACCTTATAGGGATCAACGCTTTTCGATTCTGCATTCAACAACAACAACGTCGAGACAAGAACAGCAGATATCACCAGCCGTGCCCTCACCATCCCGATAGAAATAGCCTTCTTATCTTTCTTCTTCTTCTTCTTCTTCTTTTCTTCTTCGTCTTCTTCTTTCGAACGGTGTTTATTAACCACGGAACTCTTCGCTTCGGGAAAGATCGAGAAAAAGGATAGTTCCTTAAATAGGTTCGCTGGGTTTAAAGAAAAACAGCGTATTTTTAGAATGCCCTTTATGTTATTAATTAATTAAGAATCTTTCCCAATTGTTTATGAATGTCACACAAAGGCACAAAATTCTTAAATTATGAACAGAAGTCGGTGGGGAAAAATTGCCAAATTCAAAAGTATTGGGGTCATTCTATATCTTCCCAAAATAAGTTCCGGTAGCATCCGTTTTTAATTTAAGGCGGGTATTTACACGTGGCAAATATGATGAATTCCCACGTATCTCGACCAATAAGATTCTAGCAATTTTCTGACTCCTGTCACGCGCCCTAAATATCACGCCCCATAGTAATTGGGCCTATTAATCTAGGTCCAATAATTAATGATCGGCCCAAGTTAAAACTCTCCGGCTCAACGATCAGAATCCGATCAGTATACGACGGTAAGTAATATTTTTTTCCTTTACGACTGTGAAAAAAATTCATTTTCATTTGTTGCATTGTTGTTTACATGATTCAAAGAGCTTGACAGACGTAAAAAAAAAGAAGCCGACGTGGAAGGAGACGATCTCTTCCTTTCTCCGCCGTGAGATTTGATTCTCGCTGTTCGCTACTCAAACCAAACCCCTAGGGTTCATCCTCGACGCTTAGGTCACGGATTTCGTCGGATCTGATGGCGTTATCAGCTTCCGATTTACCGGCTATGTACTCATTGCTAGCGAACTCCATGAGCGGAGACGAGTCCGTTAGGCGGCCGGCGGAGGCGGCTCTGGCTCAGTCGGAGAGTAGACCTGGATTCTGCTCATGCCTCATGGTTTGCGGTTTCTTCTTAACCTAATGCTTGTTGTGATTTTACTTTACTCATTGCGTCTCGTTTGGTTTTGCAGGAAGTGATTGTATCTAAGGATTTGGTGTCTCATGTGGACGTTAGATTGATGGCGTCTGTGTATTTTAAGAACAGTATTAACCGTTATTGGAAGAGTAGACGAAATGCTTCGTGAGTTTGTTTACTGATGATTGCAGTTAAATTGGATTAGAGTAGAATCTAGACTTGTTATCATTAACTTATTAGTACACTGGTTTAGACTTTTGGATGTGTGATGGCGTTGAGCTCTGTAAATTTGCTTAGACGGTGACACTTTTTTCCACAGAGGTATAAGCAACGAGGAGAAGATTCATCTGAAGCAGAAGCTGTTGTCTCACTTAAGAGAAGAGAATTACAAGGTGTTGTGACATTTTGCTTTGTTTGTTAATGAGTGGTTTTGCTTTCTGTGGCTACATTAGCTACAAATGTGTCTTACTTTACTTGATTTATGGCAGATAGCGGAAATGTTGGCTGTTCTTATATCGAAGATAGCACGCTTTGATTATCCTAAGGAATGGTCAGCATTTTCCTCATAAC